ATAGATGGAACTCTGGTTATTTATATGATTATACCCATTAATGAAACATGCTTTGTGCCAAAATTTTACATTAGGGTTATTTATGTTAATGGGACAGTAGAAACCTCTACCCAAATATATCCAATACCTGAGTTTAATTTCTGTCAGATTAAGACAATTGATGGTAATAGATTTACTCTAATGATAATTAGAATTTTACCAAAATATGGAGTGTTAGTTTATACAAATTCTACCAATGTCAATTCATCAGCAACTTATGGAATTTTATTATCTATAAGTGGAGAATTTATTAGGTAAAAAATAAATTTATTAGCTTTGATTAAATAAACAAATTTATTAAATCCAATCCGGTGAATTTCATATTGGGGAAACAAGTTTTTATGGAGGCATATATCAACACCCATATAACTATTCATGCAGGATTTACTCCTGAACTACAAAAAGAGTGGGAAAAAAGAGAATTCAAATATAAACAAGCCAGAGAGTGGATAAACATTGGTTTAAGCCCCAAAGATGCTGATTATGCTCGCAGATTGATAGATATTAAAAAAATTGGTATAGAAAATGAAGGCATTACTGATGGATTCTTGTTGGCTAACACTAAAACAGATTCAAATGATCTTCAATGGATTTATTTTAATTCACCATAATTATTTTATGAACTTAATCAATTATAATGATTGAGATATAAATACTTAAATATTTATAAATATTTAGAAATGAAAATGGAGAAATAACCAAATTGAAAACCGGAACTATTGTCCAAGCACTATTGGAAGATGAAAATTATTTATCGATTGATTGTTTTCCAGCTTTAAATAATGGATTTGGAATTGCTATTGCTAATACAACAATTACTAAAAATAACAATAGTGCAAAAAATCATAAACCAAATCAACCATCAACATTCATATATGTTTCTTTAATATATCCTAATGAAGTAGTTGAACAATTTTTGATATATCAATCTGCAGATGCAAATTTAAAAATTGAAATGATGTGCTGTGGTACTGGATATACCATCATAGGATATAGATGTGCTTTGAAATTATCTAAAATTGAAAATTATTGGATGAGAATTTTATTTTCATCAAATGGGTAAATTTTTATTCAAAACCATCATCATTACATATCCCTAGTCATATTTTAATTAATATTAACCTAATATTTAACTTATTAGTGCTGTTAAAAGTGTTAAACCATTAGAGTTTGACCAATTTCAAAATTCTTTGCTTCTTATACCAAATCCACTATATTATGGTGGATTTTTTAGTCAGTACTATTTCACAAAGTGAAACATATAAAAATAAATCAACAATATCTGGATATCTATTAGATAATGATTTTGAAGATAAATTCAACTTTAGACCTGCCAAATAATTTAACAATTTCATCATTTCTTCCAAATTTAAATTTTGGAATATTTCTTCATAATAATACATTTGTTGCAATTATACCTAATGAAAATGATAATAAAAATTGGCAATTAATTTCAACTGAAATTCCTAAACTTATGCCAGATGGTAAAATAATTTTTATATTATATTTATCATATTACATAAAAGCCTTAGTATTCGAATATTAACAAGCACATTTAATCTTGCTAATACAAGTTATTATGTTACAGTTGATGATGATGCATTAAAACTATCTTCCACCAATTATTCATTGTCAGGTATTCGTAAAAAACATGGAAATTTACCACAGGTAAAAATATTAATAGTTACAACTTATTTTTCAATTATCAAAACATTGTTATTATTGATAATTAATAAATTAATTATTTTTAAAGATAATGTGGCTTTTCAATATTCAGGTAAAAAAAATCTTATGAATTTAGATTAAATTAGCACATCTTTATTTTTTTTTAATAATTAAATCTATTTTATTAAAACTCTAGATTCAGCAAATGGTATTATGAGACTCAATGTAGAAGGGACAAATTTATTTAATCTGGATTCAACAAATGAATCTGAATTTAATGAAAATTTGGAAAATGGATTAGCTAATATAACACCAACCAATCCAATTTGTTTGAAATTGATTCAAACTCAGATGGATTATTCAATATCACCACCAACTTTGTTATTATTATTTAAAATTAATAATAGTGGAGATTCACAGGAAATTAATGTTGCTAAAATCATAGATAACTTAAATATATTGATTAGAAATAAATTCATCACTGGGATATCAAGGAATAATTATACAAATTTAATTGATGAGACTTATGGCTTTACATATATAAGAAGTAATAAATTATAGAATATAATTCATATATGTGATTTAATACTAATTAAATATGTGTATACCTGATAGGAAATATAATAGAATGGATCTCATTTGATCAATTCAAAGATATTGAATATCCAGCTAAAGGATGCTTTGGTGATATTCATATGGCAACGTGGTCAAGGGGATATATAAATGATTATGATGAAGATAAAAAGGAATTTAATTATTTTAGAGCATAGTATGTGGTTTTAAAATATTTAAATAATTCAATTAACGTTGAAATTTTTGACGATGTCAGTAGTAAATTCATTTTA